AAGTTATATAATGACTGTTTGGACTTTCATAGCATGTATTAACTGAAAATAGATAAAAAGGACTGGAAAACCACAATTCAGCAAGGCGGCTAGGGCACTAGTCAGATAGCTAACATTTCTTAATTGAGAAGAAACCAAGCTCGCTAGGCGCAAGGTAAGTGTGCCTAGCGAGATCCCTAAATTTACACCTATAAATAAAGGCTTTCAATTTAGTTCAAAGAGAGTTTAGGTGGAGGGAGGTGGTATAGAATTGGAGTATGTTTGCCTTGGTCAACAATAAGAGAATAATAGATAGAGCTCGAAGGCAGAAGCATTTCCCAAGTGACAAGGAAGATAAACTTTCAAGCTCAACTTTGTAAGATTACTGGTACAACTACGATGAGTAAGTGTGCCTAAAAATATATTTGTTAGGGGTTAGATGTAGTTACTATATTCATTTATTAAATAGTTCACAGTGTTTTATGTAAGTCTACTCAAACTTTAATATTGATGATTCTTTAGTCTTAATGCATGTTTTATATTTTCTACCTAAAATTTGCTTTCATGGTATAACTTGATATTCGAAAGGTGTTTTTCATTACTAGATCCAATATAATCATCTATTGGATATTATTTCCTAGACATGGGGTTAGGTTCAATAATCGTGGGTATCGTAGTAGGATCAGTGTTGAGCCTTAATGCTTTATAACTTTTGGAACTTAATGCTCTATGTTGGCTAATAGATCAAGGTATCGACTATTAGGTCATCCATTTATCTCATGGCATGGAGATCTACCGAAGATACAAATGAGTACAAGAGGTGGTAATATTAATAGTTGGGTAGAGGATCATATTATTGGCCTATGGTTATGCATGATAAATACATAATGACAAAATCTAGTCCTAGCAAGCTTTCTTATTATTAACATTGAAATCTCCATTTTATTTTTTGTCATTAATTTATGTCATTTTATTTCACACATAAAAATAAGTATAAAACCCTTCTCTACTTAGAATTTTAAAAACTATTGAACGGTCTTTGAAACCACCAGTCTCTATGGATATGATGATTATAGATATTACTTTTGTTGCTCAGCGAACAAAATGGCGTTGTTGCTAGGGACTGGTGCTTGTTTTTAAAGACATCACATTTTTTTATTATTTTAAGTATTGTTTATATATGTGTATATCTGTTAATATATGTATTTTTTATAGTTATTAACCCATTAACATCTAGAATTGGTTATGTTCTTACTAGTTTATGCAAGGTAAGGTTCCTGAGGAACAATTGATATTCAATCCTGAAATCAAAAGAACTGCACGCAGAAACCTCGGTAAAATAGGGGAAAAAAACAAAGAGCCTATAGGTTGGATCTAGAAGATTCTTTCATCTCAAAACAAAGAACCGTGGTTGAAATCAACAATAACAATAACAACAATGGAGACAATAATTATGTTACACCCTGTTACAATAGTCTAAAACGTTTAGGTCACTTATCTAGAACACAAAGGAATGTTCGACAAAGTGAAAATAAAAACAAACTTATTAAAATTATGTATGCTAACTCTTTTGTAGGTTTAGATTATGAAGACCCATCCACACACCTCGCAAAATTCTATGAAATTGCTGGTACGCTAAGAGCTCTAAAAATTAAGGAAGAAGTTGCATTCCTAAGAATGTTCCCAAACTCTCTGATTGGAAAACCAAAATAATGGCATATAGATCAACCCACATCATGACAAATTGGAACTCGTTAGAGGAAAAAATTTTAAACAAATTCTTACCTCACAACAAATTTATGAAAGCAAAGAAAACCTTCATGGTGTTTTCCCAAGGCACAACATAAACTCTTTGTGAAGCTTGGGAAAGATACAAGTCAATGTTAAGACGTTATATAAACCACAGTTTTGACGAACTCGCGTAGATACACATCTTCATGAATGGAGTCCTACAACAACAAAAGTTGTTGTTATATGCTACTATTGGGGGTTATCTCATGTCTAAAAGTGCAGAAGATGCAACAACAATCATTGAGTGAATGGCGCTCAATGATCATCAAGGATAACACGACATAAACCCTTCCCATATGAAAAATGGTATTATAGAACTAAACACCAATGATGTGATTCTTGCTCAAAAAGTTTTTAACTCAGACGGTGGATGAACTGATCAAGCAATTGTTAAAGCTTCCAAAACAACTAAAAGATATGCATGAAGTATCTCTACAAAGGAAGATTGCATTTTGTGAACTCTACAGCGAAGACCATCCAAGTGAATTTTAACCCCTACAGATGAAGAAGTAAATTATGAAGGAAACCAAATACTTGCGCAATATCATAACAATAACTTCCCACAATGTAACAATTTTAATCAAGGATGGAGATTCGAAACTGGTCCATCCAATAGACAACCATTTCATCATTACCCACAATCCCTTCCACCACAAGAAGACTCAACTATTTCTCATCAAGAAGACTCGACTAAGTCTTGCCTAAATGATCGAACTAAGTCTTGTCAAAAAGGCTCGACGAGTCTTGTCAAAAATGACTCAACTATGCCTCGCCTAAGAAACTTAACTAAGTCTCGCTTGAGGGACTCAACTAAGTCTCGTCAGAAAGACTCAACTAAGTCTCACGTAAAAGATTCGGTTGAACCTCCTCTAGAAGGATTATTTGAAGCTTTGAGAACTGAAGGCATGAATAAAGTTTTGACTAAACCCCTGAGGAAGGCCTGAAGATGAGTTAAGGGTTAAAACATTTCGGCCTTTACGAGCCTTTATGCTTGAGGAACTGTGAAGAGGCATAATTGAAAAAGAATTTAGGGCGAGGTGAAAGGCGTACCCTTAGACCATCTTTCTTACAAAGGTTCACTTTTATTGGTTCGAGCATCCCCCCTTTCGGATAAGGTGTCCCTTTTTCGGATACGTCGCCCAGACCCTTAGTGTCTCATCCATAATGTGCGCTCGTGCGTAAAACGTATATTAGATCAACAAATGTTACATAGGAATTCGTGGAATTTAACTACACTTTTTGGATTTTAGAGAACCAAGCACCCATTTCCAAAGTGGTTGCTACATCTTAGAAAGACTCGGGTCCAGACCCCAAGAACTAAAAATACATCAATATTGTGATACTTAAAGAGAACGATAACACAGAAAAAAATATACACATACAGTAGTTTCTCATCTCACGTGAGCTAGCTCTCAATACTACAACAAATCTAAAGTCTTTGACAACTCTTATTCACTAGAGATTGTTATGCATTTGTACTTTTAGCAAGCTAGTTACTCATTATACATTGACTTACCTATATCAAAATCAATAATTTTCATCTAAATCTTACCCATATCAAAATCAATCATTTTCATCTAAATCAAGTAACTTTAATATATCTTAGTAATAGTGTGCAATCAAATGATTAAGAGACAAAATACCACAATTTCTCTACTTAAAAACTATTATCCTGACGAATTCGCATCAATTATGATACATCACGAACAAAATGTGAATATATGTTTCTTTTCTCTAATGTACTTTGATACATTTAAATTATTGTTTCAGTTATATACTTTCATATATTAAAAAACTGTGAGATAGTACCCTTTAATATAGGGTCTGATAGTACCCTTTTTAAAGTTTATAAGTTTTTTTTTAAATAGTTGATTTGCTTATATAATTAAAAAATTGTGAAATAATAGTTTAGAAAATATGTAAAACCAATTTAAAGAATACAACAGATGTTAATTTGATATTTACGCCAATCACATTATTATATTATAGAAAGTAAAAAAAAAAAGTAAGAATAATAAATAGATACATTAATATATCTACACATACCATACAAATAAATAAAAATTAATTATTATATATTATAATTATTTTATAGATGAAAAAAATTTTACACAATCAATTCATCATCATCTTCATCATCCCTTTTGCATTATCATTTTAGAATTTAATTGAAATGCACTGATAGTGTAAAAGTTAATCATAATCGTTGAATGTTAGAAAAAATTTAACTTTTATTTTAATCATTAATAAAGTAATATTAACAGATGATGGTGATGATAGTGTAAAAGTTAATCATAATCATTAAATGTTAGAAAAAATTTAACTTTTATTTTAATCATTAATAAAGTAATATTAACAGATGATGGTGATGAATTAAGTGACAGTGTATAATAATTAATCTTATTATTTATAAATAATTAAAATAAAAATCAAACTCATCCCAACATTGAATTCTTTTACACTATATCAAATTTTATTAGAGGTATTTATGACAATTATTAAATTTAAATAATTTTTCTTTTCATTTTATTTTTACTTTCACTAAAAAGGCACGTTATTTTCCATTTACGTTCATTTTTTAAACATGCTTTTCTTTTACTTCTTTTCTTTTCATTTTCATTTTCTTTTCTCATCCAAACAGGTCATTAGAGCACATCATAAAAGGTCGTGTTAGCATTTTCTTTATTTAACAAGTAAATGAAAATATGTTTGACCGATAAATATTGGTATATAGAACTTCATGATAAACAATAATGTTCATAAAATACTTGCAAATATTGTCCGGTTTGACATTTACCAGAGCCTGGTTGCAAAATCGAGAAACATTGCCAGTGTACAGTACATGCTCTGTACAAAATCACAAATAACCATCTACTAATGAAAAATCTCAACTAAATACAAGGGAAATTATGCAATAATAAGTGTGCAGGCAAAAATTATTAATGGAAGAAAATACTAGTAGCATACATGAGAGAAGGCATGATACTTCTTTTCATTTCTTTCTTTCTCCCCAAATTTGCCAGTTAGGAAGAAAGAGATATTCAATATCTATTGTCTAGTCGTAAACTATGTATCCTGTGATCAATGCAACAACAACGAGAGAAAAAAAATGAAGTTTAATAAAACTCTTCTACTTCCCTTTCTCCGAACTCTGAACTCAATTTTCACAATAACATCCATGCATCAAAGAACAAAACTCATTAGAATGGCAAGTTCAGTAAAATCAAATACTACTCCCTATTTGGGGGACTCTGAAGTGAAAATCCAGATGTTCCAGGATGATCTGGGATTCCTCTATTTGTAGTAAGGGTTGTTGAGCTCTCATCTTTAACCTCATCAGATGAATAATTTCCTTCTTTTTGTCCTGCCATTGAAGGGGGTGCGGTCCCACTGCGCGTATTACTGGGAACATTACCAATTAAGCTTTTGTACATAGTAAGGGCTTGAGCCATCATGTTAGCAGGATTGGAAGCAGAGCTAGGAAGTAACATTGTGGTGCCCTGAGGAAAAGAAAAGAATAATATACAAATTTTAATGTGGGCAAACTGTGCAGTGCATAAACTTGCATGTCAATCAACTTTTAGTACAAATTTTAATCAACTTTTAGTTATTACCTCCTTGGCTATGTTACTGAAAGCATGAATATATTGCTCAGCTATCCTTAAGCTTGCTGCCTGCAAACCAAATGAAATAATGATTCAATCTTTCTTTGTTATTTCCCGAGACTCTTCCCTGTGTTGATTAACAGGAAAGTTTACATTCCAGATGCTGAAGTTATGGAGATTGGGGGTTTAGACAAGAGAAGAGAAATAATTAAGACTTCAATATGATTCATAATAATTTGGTACAAAACACTAAGCAACAACCCATTTACAGGGATACATCTTAATTGAATAGGGAAACAAATCATGATAATGACTAAATAATATGAAAACTGATCTTCTGAGATACTCTAACATGAGAAATCCTGTGAGCTACTTCAAGATACAAAAACATAATCAAGCTATAATAAGATATTTCATTTAATCTAACATCAGATCACCACAAGTTTTTTTCCAGTTTCAGAAATAGTGCAAACTTAAACATAATAAACCCTTCTACTCTGTTTAATGTGTGTTAAGACAAGCATTTGCGAACCTGATTCCCTTGATATTGAAAAATGAATTTTGGTTATAGTGAAATAGAAGAGAAGTGATTTATGCTTGGAAACTTCTAAAATAAGATGTAGTAAAACTTATGCCTTTGTTTCATAATTGTACAAAAAATTATTCCCAAGAATTATGGATATTGGAAATATAAATTCTTATGTTTCTTAAAGAGTTATAAAATTTATTCTTACAGAAAATATTCACAAGAATAAAATAACTTCCACTTCCCATGTTTTTATTAGAAAAGGAGGTGCTAAAAAAATGTTTCCATGAAACGTGTGAATAAATGATGCCTACCCCTATAGCATATACATACCCCGCTCTGACAAATAATGCACAAGAATATATTGAGTATTAATCAAACACTTTTCTACAAATTACCCAAGAATAGGAGTCCACCATTATTTTCCAGAAAAAGTTATTCACAGAAACATTTTCACAAAAAAATGAAACATATGCTTCTTAGTGTAAAACTTTTGCTGCAAAGCAAAGTAAAAGCTACATTTTCACTTTTAACCAAACATGCATTTATGAGCATTCTTGATCTTGGTTCGATACAGCAAAATATTAAATTTGTAACACGGTATGAGCGGGTTAAATGCTCCTCCAAGAGAACAAACATTACACAAGAAACGGTCAACTGGGTTTTGCCCTGAAGACTGTGACTGTATTAAGTAATGACCTGGTTTCTATACAAACGTAGTCACTCACATGTTTAGTTTGTCTGAGTGGAATGCTAGGATATCGAAAGTTTAAAACTTCCATGCACCATTGATACACAAACAATGGAACTCTAAGCATAAGGAGTTTGTAACCTAAATATGATTTCCGGCCAACGCATTGTAATACTTAGATGAAAAGCTACAAAATTACTAAATAAATAATAACAAAAAATTGTAACAGAAAAAAACTGCATAACCTCACCTCTGGTCCTCCATTTTCTTTTAGGGTTTGTGACACGACAGAAAGTCCTTCAGCTGTTGCTCTTGCCTTGGCAATGATGGCTTCGGCCTCACCTGAAAAAGAATGGTGCTAATAATAAGTTTTGAAGATATCAAGCGGAAGTGACAGTGTAGTAAGGGAACATCAATCAAGCTAAATTGATAGATAAAGAAAACAGGCGAGGACAACATGCTAAATTGAACACCAAATTTATGGTCATATCTCAATACTTAAGTAAGAATGGTTCAATCCATAACTAATCATCTCTGCATGCAGAAAATCATTCATCTAAAAAGAGGCTTAGACTCTACATATGAGCATACTGATATAAATAAAAGTTTCAAATCAAATATGAGTTAGCACTTAGCACATCAAATCCACCACAAATCAAAGCTATCTTAGAAGAAGAGGAAGTTGGAACCAATATATCAACATGTAATTAACCTCTTGCTCTGTTTGCTTGATCCATCATAGATGCTTCTGATGCCAAGATCACTGAACTCTTCTTTCCTTCAGCAATGTTTATATGAGCCTGCCTTTCTCCTGTTCAACACTATAGGCTGTCAAAGCCATAAACACAAACTACAAATTTGAACGATATGGGTATTGAAACTAATTTCAGGATGATAATAATGTAATGTCATCCTTGGACATATGAGGAATTGGAATATCAAATTGATTACCTTCAGACTCAAGAATTTGAGCTCTCTTTTTCCGTTCTGCTTCTGCTTGCATCTCCATAGCTGCTTTCACTCCACGCGGAGGAGAGATATCCCCTGTAGAAAGACAACAATGAAAGAAATTACAATGATATTCTCGAGTAAAAGATAAAGGATAATTGTTCACACATTGCCAAAAACTCACTTATTTCATATCGAAGGCATTCTAGACCCCAACTTTTTGCAGCCACGTTAATGGACTCCTGCAACAATTTTGTCACAGTTAAATTAACCATTAATTATTAAGTTTGGCTGCAGATGACAAGAGAGTTATTCTTTATATACTACTTCAAGACATAATTTAAAACTCTTAAGGGTTTAGGGCTTAGGGCTTGTGTTTTACATATGGTACATAAAAAGAAAATACATGGGAGAGCAAGTCCATAGCTGTTGGTTTGTGTTTGTAATCTACCTTCATTCAGTGGTTTCAAATTTCCACCACGGCATTTTAGCACGGCAGATATGTGACAGCCACCATAAGACGTAACACTTGTTATACTTGCCATGTTTCTGCCATAGGCCACAACACCATGTTTATATGGCAGGTTTATGGCTGGCCACGACAATCTGCCGCTACCTGCCATTCATAACACTGTTGTTGTCGCTATAAAATTACTGCTAACCTTAAGCACGATTAGAAACCACGTCCAAATGAGTAAGTATGTGCAAACAAAGATCTGTTGTAAATTGGGAGGTTAGTTTCGGTAAGTTATTTAGAGTTTAAGTGTCATAAATATGGCTTTTGATTTTTGATATTATTTATTCTTACTTGCTATTTTCAGAATTTTATCCTATTTTAGATTATCATACTTCAACTTAGAACAAGAATAGCTTATTAGAGTGCTTGTCTTTTTTAGGTCTCTAAACAGATGTTGAGTGTAACATTTGAGATGCTTTTGATTAATAAATAATGTTTTCTTCATTCATAGAGTATCTGATATATCAGTAGCAGGCACACTTTCCCCAAGAGGAGGATGAATGACCCGAGAAAATATGCACTTCTTACAGTTAGACAATCTTATGGATTGTAAGTGTCTAAGAAAGGAATAGCATGCAAACCCAGACATTTTGAGCTATGAAGCACGGACACCCCCAAATATGACCCCGACACTGACATGGCGACACTGGTAATAATTTGAAAATACGAATAAATTAAACATTATCACAAGTGTTGGTGCAAGTGTCCTACGTGGACACGGACACGCCTTTTTTCAGAGATGTAGGTGCTGCATTTGAGGAACTTGTAGTCTGGAATTGATTAAAAGGTTTATAGTAGGATGAATTAAGCTGCAAAACCGTTGTTGGCATTCTGTTTATGAGGAGCTGTGAGAAAGGCATGATTCCAACTAGTGATCAATGACTATGTGAAGTAATAAATCATTGAATTTGGAGTTTCAGAATAGAAATATGGGTGTAGCAGGAAAAGGGGAAGAATTAGTTAGCAAATCCGCATATAAGTGCTTCTGGATGTTAGAGAGGAAAGAAGATATTCTGTTTTGGAAGTTGTTTTGCAGAGGCTGGGAGGTCATCTCTTTGTAAGGGATCTGTCCTGTGAGGGTGGTTCCAAGACTATTTTGGGTGGTCATTCCTTTTCTGGTTCAATTGTTGTAGCTAGCTACTGCTGTATAATTCAACCGACTTGGTAATATCTAGTTTATATCAATAATACCCGGTTGTTTCCTGATCTGTGTGCCTCTTTGCTTATCAATGATCTAACAGACTTGACTAAAGTATTTGATGTATTAAAGTCAAGTTGCTGAAATGAATTAAGCTTTATCCTATCCAAAGCGCCAACTGGATCTCATATTATCATCAGTCAGGGACTTAAGGCCACACTGGATCTGATAATAAGATGAAATGAGACAATGCTCCATAACTAACAAAATGTTTCATCGTTATTGCTTGTCTCATTCCTTTCTTTTATTTCCCCTCTTAATAGAACAAGATTAAAAGAGGTCAATTTATAAGTTAGACGGGTTATCCTTCAACCAAGTCCCTAAAACCCCATCAGAAAAGACACATTCATTTAAGAACCTAACTATACGCTGCTTATCTGAGATTACACCGCCAAGATTTTAAGTATGGCTTAAGACTGAAGTAACTAAACACTTCCATAAAAAGCATGAATCAAAGGTAAAAATAACTAGCATAGCACAAACAACCAGTTCATTGAAATAAACTCACCACAATATTTTCATTGAGCGTATCCCTTTCCGCAAAGGTCTTGTCGAGAGTGATCTTACCAAGTTCACTACGCATTGTCGTTTGAGCCAGCTGAATAACAGCATAAATGGGATTCTCAACCCCATAAGAAGCAAGTTTAGGATCTACAATCTGCACTCCAAGGAAAAATAAACTGAAAAAACAACCCCAAGAAAGAAAACAAAAAGTAGAAAACTGTTGACAGAACAATCAAAACACCTTAACATAAAGCACACCATCAATGAGAATGGTGACATTATCTTTAGTGATAGCAGACTGATCAGGAATACTAATTGCTTCTTCCTTTAGGGAATGCACGTAAGCAATTCTATCCACAAACGGGATCAAGAAATGAATTCCAGATGGAAGAGTCTTGGCGTATTTCCCGAATCGCTCAATCACAAACGCTTTCTTCTCCGGTACAATCCGAACCCCCCAATTAACCGGAGGAATAGTTTCATAATTCCTGATCAGAAACTCAATTCAATGAAATAATGGATTCAATGTAGCGAAACCTAATTAGTGAAAGTGAAATTAAGCTACCTTGAGATAGGATCTCGACCACTGCGAAGAAATCGAACGGAAGATAATCGAGAGGGAAGTGAAGAAGCGTGGTTGGTAGTTGTAGTTGACACCGCCGCCAAGGAGTGGGTGATTGAACGAAGTGCGATTCTTCCTGAATTGGATTTCAAGATGTTGGCCATTTTCGTGGTGGTTTGGACTTGTTTGCAACAACAACCCCCTTATTCTCTTTCTTTCGTGTTCATCAATTTTCTTTCGTGTTCATCAATTTTCTTTCTTGTTAGTCAATTTTGGGTTCATAAAACTAAAGCCCTACATAAACCTCTTATCTTTCCTCTATGTTTTTTATTTTATTAGAGTTTATACGGACACTCGATCCTCTTTTTTAATGCAGATTAATAAGATAAACGATTTTTTTATTAAAATATTTTTTTAAAAAAATATAATATATGAAAGTTAATAATAAAAAATTAGATGAAAGTTAATAATAATAACTTATATGAAAATTATTAAATAAATTACATAATAATATAAAAATAAAAATGATAGAAAAATAAGACACACTCAAATAAAGTATTCTCTTTATATATTGTATAGATTATTTTATTTATACATAATTTATCTCTTGAAATCTTGTAGATACATCATACAGATTATTGTTATTAAGTAAATCGCTTGAAAAAAAATCATACAGATTATTGTTATTAAGTAAATCGCTTGAAAAAAAATGTATATCCTTTCATTTTATTTTTTATAATAGAGGCTGAAATGAAAAAAAAAAGTAGGTCATGGTAAAGAATTCGATTACATTCACCCAATAAAAGAGGGATAAAAGAAGGGGTGATCTTTGAAGTATCTTGATAAAAGGCATCAAACTTAGTACAATAGTTAGTACATTGATTTCTTTTTCACAATGTAATGAATTTGGATTCTCAACCTCAAACATATGAATTTGGATTCCTTAACATGCTTTAATGATGTCAAAGGGAACAAAGAGTTTTGATTATGTCAAAGGTAAAATAAAGTAAGATATAATGAATATCGTAAAAGAAAAATATTAATTTAAATAAAAAAGTGAGAAATTTTTGATGAATGGGAATAAAAGAATCTAATGCTAAAGAACAGCATCAAGAATCAAGAAACAAAAAACATGTGTATTTGCTAAAAGCTTGTCATTTGATCATGTGAAGTGGTCTTATCTTTTTTAGGATCAAAGTTTTATTTAAGTGTGTAATTCTCAAAGTAATAAAATTATATACACACTCGTAAAACCTCTTTTTCAAAATTTCAATTTTTTAAAACCTCCTATAAAAATCACTTTAAATTTGGTGAAAACATTTTAAATTGAATCATGATTGATTGATAAGTCTTTATAATCGATTATGTGGTAAAATTTAACATATTATCAATTATGACACTTATGTAGATGATTGTGAGGTGAAATGCTCTTAATAATAATTGTGGAGACCTAATAATTGATTATGATTCTAATCCAGTAAATCCTTCCTTATTTTCTAAGTCATAGTCGATTAAGGTCATAGCCTAATCAATTATGGACTTGATCCTGGTCTTTAAAAAATTTCGTTTTTGTATTAATGTCTTACAATAAAATGAGATCTTGTATCACTCTAGAACACACAAAAATTCAGAAAAATACTTTTTCCTTATACTCTCACCTTGCTTCCAGTTTTCATACTCACATAAAATATAGTTTAAGTGTTTAGGGGGTAACTACTTTGTAGATACTTCTTGTGTAACCACTGTTATATTATTACAATTTGTAATTATAAACTATTAGAGGGTTGTTCTTTCGAACTCTAATAAGTGATAAAGGTTGCAAGCTGAACTTTGGATAAATGTTTGATATAAGAAGGTTGAGGGTTGATCATGTGTTAATAAAAGTTATATGGCAGTGAAAATCTCAAGGAGCAGTCATGGGAAACTGGAGTAGGTCTAATGGTTTTTTTTATAAAACTAATATAATTTTAATTTGTTTAAGTTTTTAAGAAAAAAAGTAATCACAACTCACCTCCTCCCCTCTTGTATTTGAAGTCACTTAGGTAATATGGACATTAGAGTCTAACTCTTGTTTAAAGACTAATTGTATCAATAGGTAGGATGACTTCAAATGATTCATTAAACAAACCTCCATCTTTCTTTAGTGAAAGGTATACTTAATAGAAAGAACAAATGGAAATTTTAATTGAATAGATGGCTTGTGATATTCGAGACCCTGTGAAAAATAATCCATTATTGACAAATAAACATTGTAATACAGTTTGAAAGCTAAAAGTATCGCCATTGTCACTTTAGACGTAAATGAATTTTTTTAGTATCACACTGTAATATTGCTAAAGAAATGTGGGATGCCCTTAAGTTACCCATGAGGGTACTATCAAGATAAAAGGTTTATGATTAACACTTTGACTCAGAAGTATGAAAGTTTATAAGGGAAGAATCATAATTACATGTCTTATATCTCCTTCATACTTGAATGAAGAGGAAATGAGTGATTGACTTGTCTTGCAAGTCCTCTTCGCTTGCATGCAAACTTCTATTGAGAAGCAAGTGTGAGTTGTATTGAAAAATAAATATGAATTCTAAGTCTCACATTACTTAGAAAAATGGAGGTTGAGCACTTTATAAGTGAGAGGGTTCATACACCTATCACCTTAAAATTTTGGGTGAATATGTGGTATCTCTCTCACTTGTTTGGATGATTCTTTGACCTTTAGGTGAGCGTTTGACCCAATATGTATGCTTCCGCCCTCTTGATGACCCATCAATCGTATCAGAGTCAATGGTTTGAGTAAGGAACCGACTCCTTGTGTTGAAAGTCTTCTTTATATGATGGTTAGGCGGCATATTTCGTTGAAGTGTCCATGACGAGATAAGGGTGTTTCTCAACGGCAGTACAAGCATATAGATGAAAGAGCTTCTGCTTGAGTGGGATTATAATGGATGAACTCACACTTGATGGGGAGATTATTAAGAAACAAGTGTGAGCTTTGTTGAAAAACAAATGTGAGTTCAAAGTTCCACATTGCTTATAAAAGTAGAGGTTGAGCACTTTATAAGTGAGAGGACGCATACATATATCATCTTAAGATTTTGGGTGAATATGTGATGTCTCTTTCATTTGTTTGGGTGAGTATTTGACTCAATGTATATGCTTCTCCCTTTCAATAATCCATTAACTTCATCATCCACCATATCATCATCATTTAGAAGAGGCAATGATCAATTTATGGAATTAATCCATAGCCACTCAAATCTATTGTATGATTATGATTAGCATGATCAGATATCAAATATAGGAAAATGATTCAAGTTAGAAATATTGGAGCAAAGGGAAGCAAGCTTGAAACTAAATTTGCAATGAATAATCACCATCTTCATTTTTTTAGAAATTTGTATATTAGGGTGGGTTTTCTTATATGATTTAATCCTTAGGTAGGATAGGCTTGTGAATTTAGGATATTCATGCTAGCAAGAATTAGGAAAAATGATGATATGTGTGAAAAATACAAAATGTTGGAACACTGGTTAGTTGACATGAGATTTGTTGGGTTTCTCTATATTTGTGAATATTGATAGCCATGATTCAGTATAAGTTTGACTCAATATTGATAGAAGGGGTTATGATCCGTACTTTTATGAGTGTTTTGGAGTTGAGAGAATATGAAAGTCTATAAAATTATAACATAAATCGATTCAAATCATCATATGACCTAGAAATCTTGATATGTCACTAATGTTTATTTCATAAATTTTGATATATGACACTTATTCAAGTTATTCTTGATTCTTTGAAAATTGGACTTAATTCCTCTCAATTATGTAAAATTTCATAGGTATTGGTTTTGTATTGGTGCAAAAATGTAAAAATCTACTCAATTATTGAATTCTTGAATTTATGAGTGAATAGAATAATATGTATCGGTGAATCAATTCGCATTTTCTATTGTCCCAAAATGCTATTGTAAGGTAGTAAACCCTATTTTAGAGTTTAATGAGATGTTCTATTGTCCCAAATAAGCGGCCTTTCTCGCCTGGGAAGCTTATCATATCTTCATCATGAGGAGCAGCAAGTGGCCATCTCCGTCGAGAAGCTGGTTTCATTTCCTTTTCATCTTGAAGTGCGGGGAGGTTTGAGCCGACTCATGTTCAGGATAGCACAAATCTTAAAGTATGAATAAGTTCATTTTATCCTTTAGTAAAACAAGGAGTCGACTCATATTCAAGAGAGCACAGGTCTTGAAGTATGAAGAAGTTCATTTTATCCTTTAGTAAAAGAAGAAGTTGAATCATGTTTTTCTCATGGAAGCTTATTTTTATCAGATGAGCGATAGTCCCTCCAGTGGAGCTTGTTAGACTAAGGCACGGATCTAGAAGGGGGGGTTGAATAGATCCCTTTTAAAAATTTGAGTGGCGCTACCAATAAAATTGGTTTTCAAAATTGTTTTCAAATGCGGAAGCGGCCTTGGAAAATATAGTCTAAAACGAACAACTATTGGAGAGCCGGATATGCGTCAAGCAGATGAATTTAAGACGATAACGGATAGTAAATCACTACACACTTTTATGCAAAACTCAGATGTGATTCACTCGTACTATTTCCTTATTCCAATGATCAAAAATTACACCAAAACTAGCAGCAAAATTAAGGCAATTTTAGTTCAGCACTTTTGTCGAACAGTTGGTGTGCACAAATACCTTAAATGATATTTGTGTTGAATGAGTGATTGAAAAAGCCTTAGTACAGTATTTCTATTGTACTTAGTAGTTAAAAAACAGTGTTTCACCAACTCACTCAATCAATACTACAATTTGACAAAATCACTTATTCTAGAATCACTTAATTTTTAAGCTGTAATTGAAAATGCAGAAAATAAAGGAACACAAGATTTGATGAGGCAGTTCCCCCAGTCGTCCTCGCGTTGGGGTACGTCTGCCCTCAATTCTACAATGAGAATTGAGATATGTATTGAATAGATATCACCTGTTTGGTAGAACAGTTATACACAAGAATCGATAGACAATTGATACAAACAATCTCAATGTTGCTGATAATTTCTACCACTTCTTGCCCCTTGATTCAAGATGAATCAAGTCCTCCAATTTGATGTGAATGACCTCCGATTGCAGCCACCTTATTGACAACTCTTCCGTTGATCAAACC